TCTCTTCCCGGGGAAAAGCCCCCGCCCCCCCGCGCCTGTTGGATAGACCTCAGCAGAATTCGGAGTTTAGGATCGCTCTCGGAGTACTGTGGAGGACGAAGTTTGAGTCCCGGGGCACCTGGAAGACCAACAACGCTTAATGTGGGGTTAAATGCCCAGAATTAAACTTGGCTAGTCATCAAGGGGACGCTGGTCTCAGGCTTTGTGCAAGTATCTGAAGGAATGTGCACGCCCATAAAGGCTCATACCCAGAATCAAACTTTGTTGGTCTTCAGGGGGACACTGGACTCAGCCTTTGTGCAGGTATCTGAAGAAGTCTGTGTGCACATGAAGGCTTATTCCCAAAACAAAACTTTGTTGGTCTTCAGTGTGCCACTGGACCCAAACTTTGGCTAGACCTTAGTAGAATTCATAATAGACCTGTTTAAGGTTGCTGTCTAAATACTGATAGATTCAGGTGGGTAGCCTTGTTGGTCTGAAGCAGCAGAACAAAGTTTGAGTCCAGTGGCACCTTGAAGACCAACAAAGTTTAATTCTGTGTTTAAACTTTTGTGTGCATGGACACTTTTCCAGATACATACTGTATAGTGCAATTAGCTGTCTTAAGAAAAAACACACCCCATTTTCCTTCGGAAGAGTCGCTAGGCTAACTGGCATGTCATTTCTTCTGACCTGCTTAGCTTCCTTTTTAAGCATCATTTTTTTAATGCTAGCTCATTTCCAGTCCTTTTAGTTGGGAGGAGGGCTTTAGTGATGTATATATTGACGACATTAGATCAGTAGTTTCACTTTTAGTTTATTTACGTTGTTTGTGTTCTGACAGGGATGCAAGGTGGATTACACAAAGCAAGCCAATACATTCAACAAAATGGGACATTCAGTAAGCGATGCATTAGGATTTAGAAGTGTGGGACCACCAGAAAAAAGTAGAGCATGGCATAAGTATTCATGTGACACGTGAAGTGGTAGAGAAATTACAGAAATAGGATCCTACTTACAGCAAGCTGTACACTGCAGTATAAGTGGTGGTCCCTGAGCATGTCTTAATTTGTCAGTTTGAGAAGGAAGCAGTGGATGAGTTAGATTTGGTCAGTCCCATGGGTTCGTCAGTGCTCAGTGGAGTCGTATGCAAAGAACTCACTCAGCTTCCTGATGCTCTTCCAGCCCCATTCTAGTAATCTTTTAATTGTTTTGTTGGACTGTCTCCTAGCTGGTTATAAGAACACAAGAAGAGTCTTTGCTGGGTGATACCAATGGCCGATCTAGTCCAGTATCCTGTTTCATGCAGTGACCAACCAGTTGCCCTGGAGAGTCAACATGGCAGGTCAAGTTCTTCACATGATGCTGCCTTTTAATACAGGTATTCAGAGGTTTACTACCTCTGAATGTGAAGGTTCCCTTTAGCCATTGTGGCTAGTAGCCACTGATAGACCTCCAGTAGACCTCCATGTCTAATCCCCTTTTTAAGCCATACACGCTCGTGAGAAGACATCTTCAATAAGCTAACTGGAAAATACAATCAAATCTGCAAAGAAGGGAGGAAAGCAAATGCTAAGCTTCCCCTCAATGGATCAGTCTCATGATCTGCCCCCCCATCATTCTCCATTTCACAGCTTGTCTTCATAACACCCTGCAAATTAAGTTAAGCTGAGAGAGAGTGACTGCCCAGTGTTAATTTCAGTGGGTTTTTGAACCCTGGTGTCCCCAGTCCTAGAACAGCACTAATGCTACATTGGCTTCCTGTGCATAGCGTGGGGAGCTATGGTGATGTGGGGGGGGGGAGCAGCAGCACAAGGGTTGACTTTGGGTTGCGGTTTTGCCTTTAGAGGCACAGGGAACACCACTAGCTAAAGTGATTAGCAAACTGAGGAGAGAGTGGTGTTTTCCCCCTTCCTGATATCAGTCCACTAACTAGGCAAATAATGGCCATAGGCCTCTTGTTGATAGGACTTGGTAGGGCAAGTAGGACTTCGGGGAGAAGATGCTATAGGTGCTGAATGTGCATGTTTTAGAATTTAACCC